CTAAGTAAAAGGCCTTTTCCATTCCATCAACTTGAGTCCCTTATCATTTCAGTTAGCGTTTCATGACGGGGTTTCTTTTATCTGGAGTTCGGACGTATAAACTTTTCTTATAACTTCGAAAAAAATAGGCTTAGGCAAGGCAAAATATTTCGCGTAGCTCAGATACTCTATTGGTGCGCGCTTCCGTTTAAACTGCACCAAACGAATTGTTGTTACTTCAAACTTATATTCGTAACATATCTGCCTGTACGAGGTCGACTGCACAGGTCCGCGTAACGGAAATTTGATACCTTACTAAGCGCGTGGTCAGTGACTACAAGTGCTGGTGAAAAGTGCCAGTGATGTAAAGAGAGTACTTTTCTAGAGCACCAACATGATTCTTAGGCTGCTCCGTGGCGGATGAAAGTCATGAAAGGTTATCTCCTTTCGTCAATTTAACCATGCTGCTATTCATTTGACTCAGTTGTGAAAAACTCGGCGACTTCGGTGAGATTCGAACCCAGGGCAGCAAGGGAAAGGTTTTAGTACAGTCAAAGCTCTATCCACCCCAGCTACAAAGATCCACTGAGGACCGTGACTTTAGGCGTACTTTCTATTATAATCACTATTCGGAGCTCGTTATACTGAAGGCCGACTGTATTAAACTCAAGCCACTGGGTCCACTAACGCTCATTGTCAATGTTAAAATATAAGCCATCCCATGAAGTACCTTGGTGTCGTAAGTTCGAACACTTTATGCATTATAATTTTGTAATGGCGCATGAGTCGTCTAATAGCGTCTCACTCTGCTCGGGTTCAATATTCTACTGTTTAACAACCTTTTGTTGAATTTATAGCTCTCAACAACCTTTTTTACCACTAAGAGCTTCTGCAAACTAATTTTATGTAGAAGCCTTACAGTTATTAGGGTTATACGCTGATGCAATCGTTTATTCGGGAGAGAGGGTCCGCTCGGAAAAAGCATACCGAAGCAACACCGATGGTCGTTGCGTGGACACTCAAACGCTTATACTAGTCTGTATTAATAACGCTTCTGTTGAGTTCAGAGTGCGTCAGCTGGACGCGGAAATGAAGGTTATCCATCAAAGGTTGAGAGACCTGTAAGTAACTAGTTGCATTGTTTGGTAGTGCCAATATGCCTGAGAACCCGGTAACTGATGCCCAGCTATATGACGTTTTTGATGTGTAACTTTGGAGCAGACAAGGAGCTAATTCAGAGCCTTGTGACGTCTTCAAGAACCGGGTAGACGACGACCTGGGATCAGCGGATGCTTCTCACAACCAAAATTCATGTTACGCGCTCCAACTTCAAAGCAAAGACTGCAAGAAAACTTCACGTAAACACACCAGGCCTGTTTGCGCAACAGAATTGCAGTGGGATGTAAAGAGACCTCCAGAGACAGCCTAGATAGGGAGTATTCAACGTATACTTGAATTAGCTGGAGCTGTTTTCGTGATACAAAAGGTTTGATCAGAATATGCGATAAGCAGCTATTGAGCTCCTGGAGAATGGGAATTTCGTCGTGACCGACCACAAGTTAAACAAGATTATCATCTTTTCGATCAATTTTTAGTCGTGAGCATCTATTCAAAACTTGTTTAACATATTCCTCCTTTTACTATCTTCTGATAAGTTAAAGGAGTGTTATCTTTAGGCGTTATTTACCGGCTTATGATCGGAAACATATCCTTGGCCTCTTTCTTCCTTCCGTAGAGCTAAGACGCTAGAGGATGCCAGAAGAATTTACCTAAGCCTTACCGAACATTTCGCTTGAAGTTTGAAACTGCAGTGAAAGTGCATTAACGACCTTGCCAATTTGCGTAGTTTTGCGTGTAGTAGTCGG